ATCCTGTCACCGTTGAATTTGACATGTGTGGTTTTTCTGTCAAGGACGCCCGTACCCGGATGGTGCTCCACCGGTGTGATAGCCCCGACGAGCTTTACCCGGTCCACCCACCCGCCTCCACCAACACCTCTCTGGTCGCCCTCTCCGTCGGTGTGGATCTTTGGCAAGCTCGCTTGGGACATTCGAACGACACAGCCCTTCGTCATATTCTTCGAAGTTTTTCTTTCACTTGTAATAAGACCGACGGTCACACTTGTCATGTGTGTCGTCTAGGCAAACATACTCGGCTTCCCTTTACCACTTCCTCTTCGGTTGCATCGTATCCGTTTGAACTACTTCATAGTGATGTGTGGACTTCTCCAGTTGTGAGTAATACCGGCTATATTTATTATCTCGTCATTTTGGATGATTTTTCGCACTATGTGTGGACCTTCCCGTTGCGGCGGAAATCCGATGTCATATCCATTCTCACCGCTTTTTACTCCTATGTCACCACCCAGTTTGGTCGCCCCATCCATGCCATCCAAACCAACAACAGGAAGGAATTCGACAACCTCGCGGTTCGCACCCTCCTCACCACACATGGCACGATATTTCGTCTCACTTGCCCCTACACCTCGCAACAAAATGTGCTGGCAGAACGGGTCTTACGCCCTCTTAACGACTGTGTCTGCACCCTATTATTTCATGCTAATGTGCCACCCCGCTTCTGGCTCGACACCCTCGCCACCGCATCACGTCTCATCAACATTCGGCCTTGCCGCGTTCGCGACAACTTTGCACCGCACCACTTGCTTTTCGGGAGCCCCCCATCCTATGACGATCTTCGCATCTTCGGGTGCCTCTGCTACCCCAGCATCGCCTCTACCACTCCTCATAAACGTGCTCCTCGCTCTCTCGCGTGCATCTTCTTGGGCTACCCTACCAACACCAAGGGCTACCGCTGCTACGACCCTATCTCTCACCGTGTTTTCACCTCTAGACACGTTTACTTTGATGAAAGGGTTTTTCTGTTTCAGCAGGTACCACCGACCGACTCGCCAGCGCCTTCACCACTCGCTCCTGGCAGCTCGGTCTCGGGCCCCCTTGGTGTGCCCCCGCGCCCTCGGGCCTCCCTCGGGCCGTCTCCTGGCTTCGGCCCCCTACCCCCCTCGCGGGCTGCAGGCTCGGCGCCCCGCTCGGCGGCTGCGGATTCGGCAGGCCCGGTGCCCCGCTCGGTGGCTGTGGGTTCGGCCTCTGGCCCCGCTGCTTCGGTCGACGCCGCGGTGCCCCTGCCGTCCCCGTCCTCCGTGACGCCCGTCACGTCGGCGCCTTCCTCGCCACATGCGCCCTCCGTCGGGGCTCCCTCGTCGGGCTCTACAGCGGCCTCGCCCATGCCGACCACTTCCGGCTCTCCGGCGAGCTCGGCCACGGATTTCCCGTCGGCCTCTCCAGCGCCTGGTTCGCCAGGGCCCGCGCCGGGCTCTCCCACGCTCTCGATCGTCTAGGTCTCGGCGGGCTCTTCTTCACCCTCGCCCGCCGCACCAGCCACGCCGCTCTCCCGCATGGTGACTCGTGCCCGGACTGGTGCGCTCCGCTCGAGCCAGTGGTACTCTGCTGACGAGTACCTCCTTGCGGCCTCCTCGGTGCCATCCACCTCGGCGCCCTCTCCCTTCCCATCGTCGGCTCAAGTGGCTCTTCGGGACCCTCATTGGCTTGTCGCGATGCAGGAGGAGTTTGACGCTCTTCAGCGTAACCGCACCTGGCAGTTGGTGCCTCGGCCGCCGCACGCCAACGTGATCAGCGGCAAGTGGGTCTTTCGACATAAGACTCGGCCTGACGGGACCCTCGAGCGCTAGAAGGCTCAGTGGGTTGTTCGCGGTTTCCGCTAGCGTGCTGGTGTGGACTTCACCGACACCTTCTCCACGGTTGTCAAACCGGCACTATCCGCACTGTCCTGCAGCTGACGGTCTCTCGCACGTGGCCCGTCGACCAGATGGACGTCTCCAACGCATTCCTTCATGGCCATGTTGCCGAGCAGGTCTACTGTCAGCAGCCCATCCGCTTCGTCGACGCCACCCAGCCGGATCATGTGTCCCTGCTCTCGCGCTCACTCTACGAGCTCAAGCAGGCCCCTCGTGCTTGGTACCAGCGGATCGCTGCCTTCCTTCAGCAGCTTGGCTTCGTGGCCACCCGCTCGGATGCCTCTCTGTTTGTCTACCAGCACGCTAGTGAGACAGCTTACCTACTGCTCTACGTCGACGACATCATCCTGACTGCTTCCACGACCGAGCTTCTCCGTCAACTCACGGCTCGCCTCGGCACCGAGTTCGCGATGAAGGACCTCGGTCCTTTACACTACTTCCTCAGGATCGAGGTAGTGCGCCGTGCGGACGGGTTCTTTCTTCATCAGCAGCAGTACGCCCAGGAGTTACTCGAGCGCGCCGGCATGCTTAACTGCAAGCCCGCACCTACGCCTATCGACACGAAGGCTAAGGTCTCCGCTCTTGAGGGAACCCCGGCGCAGGATGCCGCCTTCTACAGGTCCATTGTCGGGGCTCTTCAGTACTTGACGCTCACTCGCCCCGACCTGCAGTACGCGGTTCAGCAGGTGTGCCTCCACGTGCACGCTCCTCGTGACTCTCACTGGTCCCTGGTGAAGTGAATCCTTCGTTACATCCGCGACACTATGGGTCTCGGTCTCACGTTGACGGCGTCCTCCTCCAGAGATCTGGTGGCTTACTCCGACACCGACTGGGCTGGCTGCCCTGACACTCGGCGCTCCACCTCCGGCTACTGCGTCTACCTCGGGCCCTCCCTCATCTCGTGGTCGTCTAAACGACAACCCACGGTGTCCAGGTCGAGTGCCGAGGCTGAGTACCGCGCTGTGGCTAACGCCGTTGCCGAGTGCTCCTGGTTACGGCAGCTTCTTCAGGAGTTGCACCTTGGCGTGGCCAAGGCTACTGTTGTCTACTGTGACAACGTCTCCGCCGTCTACCTCTCCGCCAACTCCGTTCATCATCGTCGCACGAAACACATCAAGCTCGATATTCACTTCGTGCGTGAGCAGGTGGCTCTCGGACACATACGGGTCTTACATGTCCCCACCGCTCAGCAGTTCGCCGATGTTATGACCAAGGGGTTACCGACGACCACATTTGAGGAGTTTCGGTCCAGTCTATGCGTCATCAATGACGTATCGACTGCGGGGGTGTTGAATATCCTTTGTATAGGCAGTATATCACATGTATATGTAGGATCATTTCCTACCTTGCCCCGCCTCCTAGTTACCATGTATAGTTGAGGCCGTGGGCTACTCATTGTAAATATATACGTGCGTGTATGCACCCAAATCAATTGAGAGTTGCATTGCCAAACAATAATCCATGCAATGAATTCGCAACCCTAGGCTGCTGCGTGCATGCTGTTGATCGCCGCAGCGCGGTCCGTATTCATGGTACAGCCAGGCGGCTGGTGCCGCCGTCGTCAAAAAATTCCTCGGCCCTGATCTTATAGCAAACAAAATAGCACGATGCGGCAGCGACGTGCCACATGATTTTGTGAAAGAAATAATTTACAGGAACAGATGTAACTGAAAAAACATCACCTGACTATCCCACCGAATTGTGACGATCACCTAGCAGGCTCTCAATGAAAGCACCAATGTCGTTTCTATATCCGGCGTATCTCGTAGTAGGGGTTCTAAGCTAGGCGTCTTGGAGCGATGGTAACATGGACACGGATCTTACCCAGGTTCGGACCCTTTTGATGGAGGTAAAATCCTACGTCCTGCTTTTGATTGTATTGATATGGGTGTAGTACATGGTACATGCATCTACCACGAGATTATTCTAATAAATATTAGATATTGTCTATTGACTAGCCTGACCTCAGTTTATATAACACACTAGAGGCCTAGGGTTTAGGAGAGTCCTCTTCTTGTGCGCCAAGTCTTTGTGGGATCTCCCTTGTATGCGGCATGGGCTGCCCGAAGTGGCTCGTTAGTAAACCGCCTTGGGGGTCCTCGGCCCGATCCAGCTGGCTGGGAGACGACGTGGTGAGTACTCCCTAGTCCAGGACACCGTCAGCGGTAGACAGCCAAAAGCGCGGGAATTGGGGTGTAGGGCAGCGATGATTGGAGCGGAGAGGATGGGGAAAGCATGGGTTTTGGCGCGAAAATAGGGCGAACCACTCCAAATGTGTTGGCTCCACAGTGGTTTTGGGTGGACCGGAGGTGTTGGAGACCTACGAGACGAGGTCCAGACTCCTGCAAAGTCCACAGGTTTGCTTCCGGTTTGCGGAAAAAAGACAAATGGACCCATGGACAAATACATGACGAGTGCTGCTATTTGGACGACATTGTTCAACCGATTTATGGACGACACTATAAACCTAACCATGCATGCGTCAGAGCAAGTGTTGCACAGCCGCCGGATGAATTGTCGCCTCCAAATCAGGCGTGAAATGCCGTCCGCAGAGTAGTTCTAATACATGACCGTGTTGGATGATAAATTGCGTCTGACCAACTCGGTCCGGACAATGACCGAGGTTTAGAGGGTCCGCGTTGCCCTGACAACTTCATTGCTCCACGGACATGCATACAGAAGGCCACATGAGATATTTGGAGGGACACGCTGATGAACAGGTTTTAAGTCGGGTCTAATAACACATGGATCACCCCCACAGAAAACAACATCTGCATCATTACATATATCGTACTGATCCGCATAACTGTAACAACCCACTGATGCCGATGTATACATTTGGCTAGACGCATATGAGCTAGGCTTATTGCACGGCGAACAGCCTAGACAATATACAAGAAGCAATAAAAATAGCTAGCGCTACGTACAATTCAAGAAAATAAAGAAAATATCTGGTACAGTTGCATGCTTTTTCTGGCAACAACTAATCAACCGATTCCTTTTGGATGGCGACTCTGACACAGGGAATTCTCCTCATGAATCTTCCTTGGCACAGTTATGCCCAGATATGATAGACAGAATTTGGTGGCTTCAGGCTCAAACACTTCGGTCGCTGTCTTGCACGCATGTCAGTTTCCTGAGGCAGCCCTCTTAAGCAATCTGCATAATGTACAACCGGTCATTGCTCGAAGATCCGAAAAATATCTTCCACACCTAACTACGTACTCCCTCCGTTCCAAAATTCTTGTCTTAGATTTGTCTAAATACGGATGTGTCTAGTTACATTTTAGTGCTAGATACATTTGTATCTTGACAAATCGAAGACAAGAATTTTGGGACGGAGGGAGTACTAGTGTATACACATTTAACACTTAGACAATAACAGGAGAACAATTGGATGGAAACAAAGCTGAAATGGTTAGGGCTAGTCATAGTGGGAGTAACTTAGCAAGTAACATAGCGCACTTCGAATTTTTTTTTGCTTATGTGACATGTAGTTAATGAGAAGTGGTAACATAATATGTTACTGTAACATAGCGCTTTCCAAGACAAGATGAGTCTACAAGCTAATTAATGAAGTCCTCTATGACACTACTACTATGTTACTTTGCACTATGAATGTAGTAATTTAGACTAGTGTCATATGCATGACACTATTATAAGTTACTCCCCACTATGACCAGCCTAATTGATTGGTGCAACCCTCGTGGCTGACAAAATGCTATCCTAGACAACATAGTGTAGTATTAACATATTAAGATTTATCTCCACACATGAGCAATCAATCTCTGAATCAGACACGACACCTAACTAAATCACACCAGCTGTTACAAAATCATCTTGGTCAAAATAATCAAAGATATCTCGCCCTTCTTAAATGAAGAGTCTCCTGGTTAGCTGGGACAAGATAATGCAAGTTTACCAGTACTTTGCGACCTGGACAATCATGGGACCCGTTGGGACATCCAGCAGCATGCCGTTGCCGTTCGCGTGAGCTGTCAAACAAGAGAATATATTCTTAAAGTGGAATCGAAACAAGAAGTGGACTGCACACCAAGCACAAATAAATAGATCTTGACTTGTTACTGTCGTCAAGGAAACGTACTTGATGGTTGTCTCGTAACAAAGAAGCAAGCGCCGATAACAATGTAGCATAGGAGGAGGAGGACTCCCTTGAGGTAATGTGACGTTCCATCCTTCAAATCAAAATCACTGGATTAATTAGGACCATTCTTTTTGTATTTTCTGGCACCATAAACGTGAAGACAAGACAGCAAGATGGCAACCAAATTACAACATGTAGTTAGGAAATCCCTTTTGTCTCACTTGGAAATCGACTTCCTTTCTTTTAGTTTATGTGGCTAAAATTCCCTCACCGACGAATGTTTGTCTGAATGGTGATTTTTACCTGGAGGGTGAAGGCCGTCACTAGCACTGAGATGAAGAGAGCGCCAGTCTCTAGCAGCTTGAAGTCGAGATCCATCTGAATCCCCATGATCCAAGCGACAAGGACACTCAATGGCACCTACCAACACAGTGCAGATTCATCATGCATGATTTGGCTGGTTGAAGCGAAGGAGACAATCAAGGGAAGGGAGTTAATGTACCCACCACGAACATGGAGATCTGGGTAGCCGACCCCAAGGCAACACCGAGGGTGATGTCCAGCTTGTTCTTCAGGGCGAAGATCACGGCTCCAGCATGCTCCGCCGCGTTACCAACGATGGGGAGCAGGATGATGCTGATGAAGCTCACCGAGAGACCCCACGACTGCGAGGTCGGCTCGATGGTGCCGACGACGTACTCAGAGAGCACGGCGATGATGACGGTCATGAGGATGAGCCAGAAGAGCGCGCTCCCGAAGCCGAGGACCGCCTCCTCCTCCTCCTCGTCTCCGCCCTCAATCTCCTGCGGCTCGAAGAGCTGGCGATGCGTCTTGAGCTGGAAGAAGAGGTACGCGACGTAGGCGAGGAGCATGATGAAGCTGCAGGCCCTAGAGAGCTCCAGCACCGTGGTGTCAGTGGCGACAGCATGCTCCCCGGAGCTGACGGCGTAACGCAGAAGTAGCGGCAGAGACTGGCACAGCACGCCCAGGGTGAGCAGACCCGTGCTCACGTCCGCTTGTTTCTGCATGCGCATACGTAGTCGTGGGCGAATTAGAGTGAAGGTCCCTGTAAAACTCATGTAAGGGTCTGTATGTTTAGCATTTTTGGTCTAAAATTAGGCGTTGCAACTTGCAATCCTGTGCTGAGATTTAGAAATGCATGCACGCTCTAATACAATACTCCATCCGTTCTAAAAATTTTGTCTTAAATTTGTCTAAATACGGATGTATCAAGTAACGTTTTAGTATTAGATGCATCCGTATCTAGACAAATCTAAGACAAAAAATTTAGGATGAAGAAAGTATAATATACAAAGTTAGTACGAAGTTGGGTCATCTATTTTGAAACGAAAAAAGTAGATGTTTTCTAAGGATGTCACATTTAAGCTCCCATAAATAAGGCAACAACAAGGAAGGAAAAAAATAAAACAAAAAATAGACCACAAACATAATGGACATGAGGTTAGGCATGACATAATTATGTCACATCTAGATGTGTCATAGAAAGACTAATATAATGAGGCCGGATACGTACCCGGTCATAGGGCTGGTCGGCCCCGAGGTTCTTGATGCCGCCGCAGAAGAGCGAGGTGCCAAGGACGAGAAGCAGGTTGGAGAGCACGGAGCCGAGCAGCGAGCATTTCACCACCTCGATCTTCCCTTGCACCAGCGCGAACACGGCGATGATGAGCTCCGTTGCGTTGCCGCACGTCGCGTTCAGGAGCCCGCCAACTGCAAACCACAAGTCGAGTAATTAACAACGCATAGATGTTCCCAGCCGGCGGGACAGAAACACTACGTAGTAGATGTTCCTTTCATTTCAAAATATAGTACGTCCAAGTTTTTTAAGGTTCAACTTTGACCCTAAAATTAACAACGAGACCGACTGCGACGAAAGCAAAAATTATATAATTGAAAAATTCTTTTCAATATGAATTTATTGGTATAATTTTGCTCCACCGCAATTGGTCTCATTGATTAAATTTATGATCAAAGTTGAAGCACGGAAACCGAGGACACACTATATTCTGGAAGGAAGGGAGTAGATAGTTTGGGGTGGATCCGCGTTACTTACTAGTGGGGCCAGTGTAGAGCGCAATCTGCCTACAAGAATTACCACACCAGAAAATGAAAAGGTTTCACGTTAAAGTATTTCCAGAACTGACACAAAGCTAAGTTAAGGCATCCCGTAAATGGGAATTTTGATAAAGAGGAGCAAATGCTTACTCTGTCAGGAAGCTGACTCGCTCAGCCAGCGGAATGAGGCCGATTAGACTAAGCGCGAACACCCATACCTGCCGATTCAGATCCACTTAAAATTCCTTTTTGCCAGAAATAGAAATAAAATTATAACACATCAACATTTGCTGGCTACTTACGACAACGTGCAGAAGTTTTAGATTTTGTGTTAGCACCAAAATTGAGACTAAATTGCGGGAGCATTTCACAAATTAGTGTGCCTTGCACTCTTGACTTTGGCTTCCCGCCATAGTCTTCTTCAATATACAAGGGCACATGTTCATGTGTACTAGCATCAGATTATCCACGTCAAGCTCGTGAGGCTATACTCCACCGGGCTGGTCACAAATGCCAACTCGTGAACACCCAAGCACAAGCAGGGATGTTTCCGTCATCGTCTTAGCCGCTGTGCCCGCACGACTTTTGTCCGTCTACTCGTCTTGGCGGTGCACATTTGGCTGCTAGTCGCAGCAAGGTTTACGAGATGGCACTCGCTCCGTAAAGTACACCATCTTTCTAGAATACTCCAGGGCGTGCAGCCCCACGTTTTGGTAAAACTGCCATGGCCCCGCGCTAGAGACGAGGAGTGAGGTGAAACTTCACTCCCGCGATCGATTGGCGCATAGTGCGTGCGCGCTCCAAACCAATGCTCGCAACCTTCAAATACAGCTGCTCACGGGTATGATATGAAGCGCCGTTCATAAATTATAGCGACTTGAGGCCGTAGGGCGATTCTATTAAAGTGTCATTTTGACGTTAAATCATAATATTAACGGTTATTATGACGATCAGACTAATATAAACAACTTTGCTAAAGAGGTACTCTTAGATCACCACTAGTACTAATTAACGAGCAAGACACAATCTCATTGATCCAATAGATGATCTCACATGCGTATACGCGTTCATCAAGATTTAGACACGCAGTCGACCTGATCAGTGCCTTGTTATTAAAACCTGACGACCGATGGTTTTGGCCACGGAGAGCACATCTAGAGGCTGTCGCCACTCACCAAGAGAGCACACCATTTAAATCTCGAATTTGTTTGCCACTTTGTACCTCGGTCGCACATAAATGTGGACAGATGAGTTCGAGGGAAAGTAGTTGAAGTTTTTGAACAAGTAGAGCAGTACAGCTCTCGTGCGTGCCAGTTTGTGTGCAATGCCCCATGTGGCCGTAACACTGACGTGGCTAATTGAGGTATAGTGTCTGCTAGAGGACAGCGCGCAAGGGACAATTGTAATTAAGGATCGGCAGAGAGGCAGTGTTGGATAGTAGTAATCTCAATCTGGCACCTGATCACCACAGTTTGAGATTACTACTATCCAACACTGTTTGCAAGCAAAAGAGAAGAGCAATAGAATAAATCCAAGGGGATGGTCAAACCGAACCGAGGGTCATGAGCAGTAGCATGCATGTCGGAACAAAAAGAAAAAAAACAGTGTATATATGGTGAATTTACCTGGCCGAAGCGGAAGCACTGCGCGGCGACGGCCAGCGGCACGGCGGCGAAGAGGACGGCGAGCTTGGTGCCGAGGAGGACCTCCTGGAGGTTGGCGAGCACGGGGCGCAGCGAGGCCACGGGGACCTTGCGCACCAACGTGGCGTCCGACTTCTTCCGCAGCGACGAGGAGGACATGCCGTGCGCCGTCCGGGCGAGGCCGCTGTGGCCGTGCGCGTGGCCGCCGTGCCGCGAGGGAAGCCGCCCGGACTCCTTCCTCGTGGGCGCGCCGGCCTCCATCGTCACCGCGGACTGGCTATCCATGGCCAGGTTAGATTGATCGATCTGGACTCTGACTCTACCTGTGCTGCTAGTGCGGCGCCACGACGAGCCTATTCGGCGCGCTTACGAACCTCGTGCTGTATTCTGTGCGAGACACCAAGAGGAGGTGGAGCACATATTTATGTGGGAGGAAGAGAAGGGTGGGCATAAGAGCAATTATTCCCGGAGGAATGAATTATTGACCCATCCCTCCATGTTACAGCCAGCGTCCAGCTCCAGCATCACAATGATAAGATCTCCTTGATGATCTTGAGAGAGAAATACGTGTGTATATATATCGAGATAGTGAGACTGGTAGATACAGATTAGAGATGGTGTTTTCGAAATAAGACGAAGAAGAAGAAGAAAAAGGATATACTTATGTAATATGGTTTAAATGGATGGGATCGACGTGTGTAGATGGATCTAAGAAGGGAAAGGGAAAGGGGATTTTGATCCTAGCCGGCTTCAATGCGACGATGCCTCTACATACGGTGGAGTTTTGAGCAGTTATGATTCGCGGGATGGTACACCAGGGAAGCTTCCGCGAAGCTTCCCAGGCCTGCGTTGCCCTGCCGTCGTACGCTACGCCACGTCCGAATGCCTGCTCCGTGTCCTGTTGCACGTTGGCTATTTCGGCTGGGGAATCGGCCTGATGCCAACATGGCGTTTCCCCGCTGGGCTGAGCGCAGAGGTGAGGATGGATCATTTTTATGAGCATGATGGATTATCATTCCCATGGCCATATGGGCATCGAATTTCGATTGACTGACCACGATGGCTTGCCTGGCTACACTCAAAAAACAAAGACCACGATGGCTGGCCGCCCCGGCAAATCTTCTCACCTCTTTCTGACCGTACGTACGGACGCGGTGTTTACGCGCTACGACGGCTTTTTTTTAGAAATGATAAATCCCAAACGTTCGGGTTTTAATCATGGCAACCCAAACGTTTTACACGCGAGATTGGCAAACATGGCAATTTTTTGTGCTATCGATAAGTCCCGGACGTCTGAATTTTTTATTCTCGCCCCGAACTGCCTCATTGTCGTTCATTTCCCCAGCACGAATCGCTGCACATAGGGCTGCCACGTCATTTTTTGCAGTCGTTCGGGCTGGATCGAGAGCGACCGAACGAAAGGACCACACATTGCCTTATCCATTCCTTCAACCACACCCACAACCGCACACTCCTGGTACTTGATACGCAGGAGTTGCCGGGCGAAGGAAAGCGGGGAGGGCGGTTCCCAGCGTGTGCAGCGGTGGGGGAGCGGTGACTCCGGCGAGTCCCGACGGGAGGCGGAGGCCCTTATCCATGGAAGCGTCTGCGACGGGGGGCGACACATTGGGACTCATCTCCGACGGCGGACTTGCCATCCACAGGATATCGCCGTGGCCGGAGGAATCTCACTCCTCAGGATCCCGAGCAGGTCGACGACGACCAAATCCCCGCCGAGACGAGCGGCAAACCATGATTTCCGAGATGGTCGCCGGCGTGGAAGATGTAGCGGCATGGTTGGGCTACAGTGACGCCTGACGCCTCCTCCACTGCTGAGTCGTTCTCCTCCCGAACGATTCGTTCGATCGATGCCCCTGCCCTCCCGAACGATTTGTTCGGGCTGGGGTGTCTGCAGGCCGAACGCACGCGCGTTATCGGCGTCCATTTTTTTGACAAAAAATGAACTTGGACAAAGTTGCCTTGTTTTAGCAACTAAAGTTGCCACCTTGCGTCAACTAAAGATGCTATGAAAAACCACTCTGGATGATATGCTTAAAATCCGAACGTTTGGGATTTATTGGGGTCTTTTCTTTTTTGATTTGACAGAAAAGATGGGAGCACCGCCCATTTCTCCTTTTTATTAAAAAACTTTTGATCGTATTCTTTCTCAATCACTGCAGGATAATAGAAGTGATATATGAGTTGTTGGCACTAACTGATACCATGCACGTTGCTGCAGGAATCAGTTGTAATATAGTTCAAAGAGATTTGGTTGTGTGGAATATTAATATTTAGATTAATAACACGTGAACAAAAATTAAAGATACATACTACTTGTTTCAAAAAAAATACAGAACTTCTCCTCCTTTATTCATTTAGCCAAATAGTGGCATCATTACAAGTAATGGCACATTTGGTGTCGAATCCATCCGGATAGAAGGAGGAGAAAACTTAACTATCCTAGCGAGTTCATGAGCTACTTTATTACTCTCTCTATTACAATGATCATAAATTACATGATTAAAATATGACAACATGAAATAGCAACCATCAATAATTGCACTTGCCACCGAAGAGGAGTTGCCTTCTCTCAAAGCTTTCACAACCTGCATGCTACCCGAGTTTATCATGATCTTGCTGCATCCAATGGTTCTGGCTAGATTCAAGCCAAATATGGCCGCCAATGCTTCTGCAGTGAAAGAATCATAGCATATGTCCAGTCATTCATTAGTTGCGGCAATAAATTTCCCGTTGTAATCTTCAATTACTGCCCCCACCAATCCCTCAAGAAGATCATGGTCAAAGCCAACATCTACATTTAATTTCATATACCCCTATATCAGCTTCTCCCATGATTCAACACGTACCTTTGCCTTCATGGAACAAGCAATAGTAAAGTTAGTTGAGAGTCCTCGGATAGCAAGAGCAATTTCTAAGGGTTTTTGGGTGTTCTCTCCATGGTAATTTTTTCGGTGTTAAAACCATAGGTACCATGCCGCAGTGGCCACAACCTCCTTCAATTTGGGAAGACCTAGAATCTGGACTTCAGTTTACTCCATGCTTAACAGTTCATGCACCACTTCTTAACCTGATTTGAATTGTATACATCTCCTGTTGACAACATCAATCAACCCCAATTGTCACCATACCTCTTTTGATCTTGGGCACTCAAAAAGGAAGTGTTTGATGCTATCTGATCCCATATTGCATTTCGGACAATGTGTTTTCATCATGTGCTTCGAGGCCAGAACTGCCCTACACGGAATAACACTATGGAGAACTCTCCAAATAAAAATCTGGATCTTGGTTGGGCACTATAAGCTCCATATCAAATTCCACTTCTCATCAGGGTATGATGATTCAGCTCTAGTTTGTAGCAAGTGACCATATTGAGCATTTCACTCCACTTGAATATAAGTAGAATAACATATTGAGAAATATGTTTTCATGCATGGTTGGTGGTGGTTTTTTTCTCATGCATGGCTACATGTTGAGGTGAGCCTATCCGTCCATAATTATATGGTGACATGCATACTTGCATGTTGATATAAGTAAGTTAGTGAGGATTACTCTCTTAAATATATAGGATTAGAAAGAAAAATAATGCACATACAACTACATCTCCGAAGTGAAAGCCAATCGGGCAAGCATGACATCTTGTCGCAGCCCACTAAATTACCATTTGGCTATGCTAAGACAGGCTTTTCTAGAGGAAGAGAACTATATATACAGTTGTTATTAGATAGACTAACCTAAAAAAAATTTATTAGATAGATGTGACCAAGGCAGTACAACTTATCTTTTATAAGCAAAAATGGATGCCACATTTGTTCATGCACCCTTAGGCTCTCTTATACATAAAAGAGAAGTAGGGAGAGGATTTATGGCACACAAGTCTGGGGGCACGCGGATCCTATGCCGTTGGCCCGCGTCAAGATTCGTGAACTAGATTATGTATAGATAGAGTTTGATTTTCGTTTTTCTGTGTAATGCATTCGTATATCATGATGATAGACCTATTAGGGTGGGGTCTAATACCTGTTCCGCGGGGCCCCATAATAGTACAAAACATAAAGGAGTCTACACTTATAGAACGGATAAGCAAAAATGACTGGTCATGTCATTGTTCTGTTGTTCTTCTTAGTTCTTGTTTGTTCTTATCTTGCTCTCTCTCAAAAATAGAAAGTCGACCTTTAAGCACCATCTCATTCGGGAAAGCAAAGAGATTATTTTCTGACTTAAAGATTAAAGTCCTTCAAAGATATCAACAACCGTAGAAGTATATTTGGTGCAAAAAGGCATGGATTCATCAAAAAAGATTTCAATTTCTTATGTATTTGATTGTGGTCATGTTTCTTCAAGTATTGGCTTTTAATGTGTCATGTAGTTGTGGAATCTCATGTTTGGTATCTATCTTGCTTCTTTGTCTTTGATGTGCTCACTACTTATATTGGAAAAACTTTTCTGTTGGATATATTGATACGTCTCCAATGTATCTATAATTTTTGATTGTTTCATGCTATTATAGTATCAATCTTGGATGCTTTATATGCAATTATACATTATTTTTTTGGACTAACCTATCCTATATACCTAAGAGATTCATCCCCACTAACCTAATTATCTTAACATGCAGCATACCCACATCAGCACATCTGCATCCTGCCACATCAGCATCTGCCATCCTACATGCATTCCGTTACCAAAAACATGAAGTAAATATGCCCTAGAGGCAATAATAAAGTTATTATTTATTTCCTTATATCATGATAAATGTTTATTATTCATGCTAGAATTGTATTAACCGAAAACATAATACATGTGTGAATACATAGACAAACATAGTGTCACTAGCATGCCTCTACTTGACTAGCTCATTTATCAAAGATGGTTATGTTTTCTAGCCATTGACAAAAGAGTTGTCATTTGATTAACGGGATCACATCATTAGGAGAATGATGTGATTGACTTGACCCATTCCGTTAGCTTAGCACTTGATCGTTTAGTATGTTGCTATTGCTTTCTTCATAACTTATACATGTTCCTATGACTATGAGATTATGCAACTCCCGTTTACCGGAGGAACACTTTGTGTGCTACCAAATGTCACAACGTAACTGGGTGATTATAAAGGAGCTCTACAGGTGTCTCCGAAGGTACATGTTGGGTTGGCATATTTCGAGATTAGGATTTGTCACTCCGATTGTCGGAGAGGTATCTCTGGGCCCTCTCGGTAATGCACATCACTATAAGCCTTGCAAGCAATGTGACTAATGAGTTAGTTG